GCAAAGAGTTGTTTTCTGCAACTTATTGCACTTAACTCTTTTTAACGTCAAGCAATTCTCTGCTATATGCGTCGAACTAAAACTTTGACCTTTTGCAACGTTTTGATTTAAGTAGCCTATTATTAAAATGATTCAGATATCGCACGCCCTTGTGATATGCATATTGCGATATTTACATTTGCGATATTTCGATAATTTCGATATATCGTGCAGCCCTACTATATAGTGTAGCAACATAAAGGCTACATATGACATTTCTCACTAGCGAGGTAATAACAGCGCTGTTTAGACACGCTGCTGCAGAACACTGTTGAGGGACGCACAGAGGTAGCCTAATTCACACAAGCTCTCTCTCTCTCTCTCTCTTTCTTTCTCTTTCTCTGTGTGTCTCTGTCTCTCTCGCTCTCTTTCTAATAACTGCATTCGAATGCTATCAACGGCTCAAGCCTCCATTACCAGCTTTAAAATGACGTTTTGGAACTAGCAAAAGAGGCGTTGGATGAGATGCGGAAGAAATAATCCTACTCAAGAGCTTGAAAATCGAAATCGAATCGAATTGGAACATCTGAATCGATACCCAGCCCTACTCACAATAGCGATTTAAGTACAAAAACCGGACGAAGCCCTTTAAATATATCATCTGATCGATGTCTTGAGGTGTGGTAACCATAGTATAAGTGGAATAATTGACGACGAGCCGTTGAATTATTAGAAAAATAATGCACACCCGAGGTGGCCGTTACATCTCGGGTGTGCATTATTTTTCTAATAATTCAACGGCCTGTTGTCAATTATTCCTTACATATGGGTTCCCTTTAGGTAGTTAGTTTTTGAGCTATGGGTTATTTAATTTCTTACTAATTATCATTTACAGAAACTTAGGCAAGCGATGCATGATAAAGGTAATTGCACCAAATGGAAAATTGGACATTATCAACAGGTTTTTGTTTGTTTGTTTGTTTGTTTTTATACATTGATTTATATCTGCCAACATTGAATTTTTCATTGTTTTTGCTCTTTTTGAGATTTTAAGGATCACTTTTCCTATCTAAACAACTGAAGTTGTAGTGGTAAATTATGGCAAAAACTTTGTTTTTCTGACCTTTGGAACATTTGTAGCGTTTAAGAAAGCCTTTAAATACATAAAAGCATGAAAACACTGAAACTATAACATGCAAAATGAACAAAAATGAAAGAATTTGACTTGAGTTTTTGTGTGTGTTTTTCAATCAATGTTGGATGTTTGTTTAAATCTCCTTAACCTGGATGTCAGCATATTCGGTCAAGAAGAATCGCCCAATTAAGAAAGCAAGAAGCCATCTAATCAACATTAAAGGGGTCATATGATGCTGCTAAAAATAACATTATTTTGTGTATTTGGTGCAATGAAATGTGTTCATGTGGTTTAAGGTAAAAAAAAAAACATTATTTTCCACATACTGTACATTATTGTTTCTCCTCTATGCCCCGCCTTTCTGAAACGCGTCGATTTTTACAAAGCTCATCGGTCTGAAAAAGCGAGGTGTGCTCTGATTGGCCAGCTATCCAGTGCGTTGTGATTGGCCTGCAACTTTACAGATCTTCTTTATGCACCAAGAGCTTGTAACACTCCAAAGAGAAAGGAAAAATTTAAATTGCATCATATGACTCCTTTAAATAGCAGTTGACTTTTAATATATGAGGTTTAGAAACTTTTGACATATTCAACAAATTTAAATCCAAAATACAGCTTTTCAGAACTTTAATATCTTTCACAGAGTGTCAGCTGATGAAGACTGAACGACCTCGGCCGAACACGTTTGTCATCCGCTGCTTGCAGTGGACCACTGTTATTGAGCGGACCTTCCACGTGGATAGCAATGCTGAAAGGTGAGGAGATGAGATGGAGGGTTCTGCTGGAATCAGTGTCCTTGTGAATGAATGAGTGGAAGAGAGAGCTTAAGAAGCAGATGCTGAATGGTATTTACTGGAAAAGCAGATTTAGTTGAATTAACCAGATTTTTGCCAACCAAAACAGGTTAGTACTCATTGCCTGTTGCTTAAATTTAATAGTAAGGGAGTTGAAAAACGTTTCAGAAACAGGAATTGTGTTTAAGTCATTATGTGACTAAAAAGCCCAGTTCTTCCAAAGGATGGAAATCATGTACATCATAGAAAATAACAAGAGGAACCATAATTTGCTTTATATTTTGATGTTTTCCTTGGATTTAATGTATGACTAATGTGATTTAATTTTGATGTCAATGCAGAGAGGAGTGGATACGTGCAATCCAGGCTGTGGCCAATGGGCTCAAGTCCCGGGAAGAGGAGGAGCCAATGGACATCAACTTTGGCTCCCCTGGAGACAACAGCCTGGAGGGAATGGAGGCTGCCATTGCAAAGTCCCGCACCAAAGTGGTAAGTGCCTTAACTCCAAGTGTAGCCACATTCTGGATGTTTGGGTAACATGCTTCACTTCTGTATAAGAAACTGCCTCAGTTGTCCATTGTCCCAAGGAACCAGTTTCCTACACAGCTTTTAATTTCATGTCTCTTGTATCACCTTGCACTCTCTGTCTTCTAATTTTCTAAGAAAATTTTACCCAAAAATAAACATTTTACTCACACTCTGGCCATCCAAGATGTAGATGAGTTTTTCTACATCTGAACAGATTTAGGTAACTTTAGTATTACATCACTTGGCAACCAATGGATCTTCTGCAGTGAAAAGGTGCTGTTAGAATGAGTCCAAACTGAATAAAAGCATCACAGTAATACACAGGTAATTGAAATGACTCTAGTCCATCAGTTAACATTGTGAAGTGAAAAGCTGCATGTTTATAAGAAGGAAATTTATTATTAAGGTGTATTAACTTTAAACTGTTGTTTCTGGTCAAAATATAAGTCCATAATCCATAATAACACTTCCTTCAAGTCCATCCCCTGTTGTCATCTCATCAGAATCCAGCAACATATTTGTTTAGAACTCTTGGACCTTTTTTTTTAAATATATATAAATGGTGCTTGATCTGTGCTAGGGATGCTCATTTTAACCGGTTAACCGTTAACCGACCGTAAAAATTTTGACCGATTAATACAATGTTAAACGGTTAAAAAAAAAAATTTTCCCCCAGTAATTTATTGAAATATTGAAAAAGTTTTGCTGCATGGTTAAAATACGCTACACGTATTAAAAAAATTGTTTTTTGGAGAAAAAAAAAACCAAGTCGCGTATAAGTCGCATTTTATTATTTCATTCAGAAATAGGCCTAATGCCGACATGAAATGTTTACTAACATTATAATAAAAACTGTAAACATGTTAAACGGTTAAAAAAAAAATTTTTCCCCCAGTAATTTATTGAAATATTGAAAAAGTTTTGCTGCATGGTTAAAATACGCTACACGTATAAAAAAAATTGTTTTTTGGAGAAAAAAAAAACCAAGTCGCGTATAAGTCGCATTTTATTATTTCATTCAGAAATAGGCCTAATGCCGACATGAAATGTTTACTAACATTATAATAAAAACTGTAAACATAGCTAGGCTATTTTAGTTCCCCTCACTCCACAACAAATCCGTTCAATTGACAGTATTTAGAAAAGAACAAGAATTAAAAATATAAGAAGCTATAGCTATATGAAAACGACAAGCCAAAACTAATTCATTTAGGCTAAAACAAAACTGAAACCAACGTTGGGTCTCTCATTCGACACAAAATCAAATGTTTCCATATTCGCGATGTATTTGAATTTTTAAATTTTTATTTATGTACTTCAGTCGTGTTCCAATATCCACGTAAAACAAAATGTTTTGCATAACATCATGGCGGTACAGTGATAATGCTTAACGGCACAAATTTGACTACATATTTAAACTGAGCAGTGTGTTTTTTCCATATGTTTGACTGACTGTATTTTTATTATGATAATGAACAGGCTGCATTGTCAAGGTAGCAATGCTTAACTGTGCGCGCATGCGGCGCCGGTGCAATCACTTCATTTTTTTCCTTCTAACAGTGGAAGAAACTACTTTTAGTCCTAAAGATAATCAGAATTGTAAAAGATTTGCTTTTATTTGTGTACATTCACAATAAAAACAAATCTGTGCTTTTGTAAAATAAGCCTAAAGAAAAATAGGATGCCGCTTTCTGCCGTCTCGTTTCCTTTCGTGCAGCACAAAAATGAACCGAAACTGTGCATACTAGGCTACTTGTTGCACAGTTTTTCTTTCGTTTTCTTAATTTATTATTTAAGTAAAAATATATTTCTCGTATA